TTGTGCTAATTAACAGGGGACTTTGGATGTAGAATCACTCCTTTTGGGTGTCATAACATCAGATCAAAATATTTTGTTACTTGTGGTGATGATCTATCATAAAGAAAGAAGTTGGAAAGATCTAGCTTCATTGTTTGCTAATAGAGAACCTAGGTACAAGTAATAATTTATGACAGCCCAGCAATGGTCAGAATGGCAGGAGGTGGATCATGTCTTTCTTTCCTGTCTTCCATCCATCCATTCAATCATCAACAACCGAACCGAGCTTAGCGAATCCACCAAGATGAACCAGGAGGAAGGAACGATAGAACGGGCAACGTTCGTTGAACACGAGCGTCTTTGTGTTGCTTTAAAGCCGTTGATACTACCTAGGTACGTACGTTAACAAAGTTGCATTAATTCACTGATGAACTGTATAAAGGCAATTGAGAACTCTAAAAGAGATTCAGCATAAAGGAGTCGTACGCTTTCTAACTCTGACGGACTGGTATTTTTATTCTCCCCTGTCATCGCCAATCTGAAGTTCTGTTGCTATTGCTACAGGCTGTTGAGAGGAACATGACAGCCACAACCAGAGACGCAATCGGCATTTGTGGCCGCTTCAGAGGCCTCTCACTGGGCAACAGCTGTCGGTTGTTAGTGGATTCGACGCCCAGCCACTTGCTCAGGGCTGAGGTTAACCCCTGAGGATAGTCTCCTCGTAAGTTGTGGGGACGGTACCTAATTTTAGAGGCACGTTTCAGAAAGACATTCCTGGGTATCTTAGTTCAGGGGGGTCCGTGTCAATCAAAGCAGGATATTCTGGGCTCTCCTATGACGACGGAGACAAAGTCTAGGCCTGAAGATGCTGTTAATCTCGCAGCTTCATATGTGATTTTTCCATAAAATTTAACCATATTCGTGCTCTCTTGATTCACACATAATTCTCCAAGAATAAATGAACTAGCCAAGCACTTGTCGGATCTTGCCAGCTCTAGCTCAGTACCTATTCTGGAAGTAAGCCACAAGCTACCATAGTTGGAAGCTAAGAACCTAAGATAGAGTTCTATAAAACTGAGATCTTAGACTACAGCTATTGAACAGAGCCTCAGCATGTACGGAGTAGTGCTGCTTCTTTATTATTCCCGAGCTTTGCTATATCTATCTCAATCTTCTTCACAACCAAGCGGTAGGGAGGTCTTCACCATCTATGGACAGGCTACTGATGAACGGCGAAGCGACTAAACGTTCCCGATTATAAGCCCAGTCAGATCTTGGAAACTCCTTGTACTCAAGTACAATGCCAACCTGTGAGAGCAAATCTTCGGTATGGCTTTCATCGAACAATTTCTTGACGTCGCACGTCACTTGTTTCAGCCTAGGGAACCGACCCTGCTCTCTTCTGAGATTCGCAAGTCCATACAACCCCTTCTGTAGACGTTCTGGAGGTGAAGGGAAATCTGGCTCCACAAGAGTAAGAGACGTGACGCTGGGTGGGAGGAAACTTGTGAGGGACTTCTCATCAGGAAACTCCAAACTCTGAGTGTTGTACACTGCGTCGCTATTGAGGAACAGCTCTTGTAAGGCTGCGAAGTTCTCCAGGTGAGGCATCGGGTCTATCTTGGTGTCTCGGCTCATAAAAGCCCGTATACGAAGGTCAAGATGAAGCGACTCTAGACTTGTGCAGTGCTTCTCGAGGTGTCTGACAACATCGCTTGCCTGGACTTGCCAGTTGTAAAGCTCGTCAATGTGCAAGGAAGTAACATCTGTGGCTTCATATGTGAACGCCTTCAGAGTCCCGGTACACGAAGGGAGGATCTTGGCGAGCTGGTCGGGACTCAACCTGAAACCTCTGAGGTGAAGTGCCTTCAAGCTCGATATTTCAGGCAGTGGCAGCGATTTGTAGAGAGTCAGAGCTTCGAGACCTGGCGAAATAGGAATAAGTTGTGATGAAAGCCATTTCAAATCAAAGGCCCCACGGAGCTCGAGGTTTCTCAAGGGAAGACTGGCTACCCCAAGGACCTTCAATGCCTGCATTTGGTCATACAACTGATGAGTTGAAATGTCAAGAGCCAGGTGCGAGCATTTGGGCAACAAGGCAAGCATTATAAATAACAGCTCAGCTGACAGAGTACTCGCATGTAATTTTATGTTCTTCATTGCCTCTGGAGAATGAGCTTTGCCGAGAATGAGTCCTCGAAGGAATGCCTCACGGTAAGGTGAGGTATCCTTTCTTTGGTCCCAGATATCCGACAGCTCCAGTCCTCTCACCTTGGCTACTTGTCTGAAAGCCTCGTGGGCATGTTCAAAATCAATTGATGAGGCCCCTTGTGTGGAATAGAAGAGGACGGCTTTGGTAGATGAGGCGAGATGGCGTTGTGAGGCGATGGTCCTTATGAAGAGGGGCAAGGATATCTGGGTCAAAGACTTCCGTAAGGGCCAGAGAAATACATGATGAAGAATATCCTGACCGATGTCACGAAAGCGTCTTGAGACGAGACATAGCGACGCCAGTACCTGGCGATCTTGGCGGTAGTTGCTGTTGAGCTGTTGAGTGTTATCAGTCAGATATTCTTTCTTGCCGCGACAGTGTAAGCAGAAGTAGCCAAGGATTTGGCGTAGTAACTCTGGAGACAAGTTGGCAAGGTTGGGTATGTGTTGATGGTTCTGAGGGTCTTGGGTCTCCGTATGGCGCATTGTATCTACTATAGGTAACGTGTATGATGAGAACAAAGATGAACTAATGACTGTTGTGAAGGCCAAGACATTGAACTATTGGCAATGGAGAGGGGGTTGTATGTAGAACTTTAACCGCCAACTCATGGAGCAAGTACTAGTACAGGCTATCTGAAACATTTTAAGAATTATCCTCTCTTCTATGAGATAGCCTTGTACACTATCCCAAATAGATAGCACTTTATTTAGGGTCTATCTGATTTTCCATGCGTTCTGAAGTTTTGTTATAACTCTTCTTCCCTTTTACCGAAGTGGGAAAGGATTGACCTATTTTCAGGGTATCACAAAGACCAGCCAACGTCAAGGGGTCGATCAAAGACGAGAGAATTGGTCTGTTGATTTATTTATTAGTGCGGCTGTCACGTTGCGACTCAACAAAGACCAAATAACTTGATGGCCGTTGCCTTTTACAATGTACCTTAGGTATCATTCGACTTGGTTCAACCCTGTCGTTACGTAGTATCTGCTTGATTGCCTTGCACGGGTAAATCTACGATCTTCGGATGATCTACATCACGTGTATCGCTTCTTGCCGAGCCATCAACTCCATCTTCAGCTTCAGCTCGTAAACTTCCATACCTACCTACCCAGAGCAAAAGCAACCAAAAGGACCCTTGTTAATGCCAACGCAATAAGGACCATTTATTTCCGGTGACGTCGGCCAAAAACTTACGATGCTTCCTCTAAACGAACCGCCCTTAATTGGCGTCTCCTCCCCCTCCAAACCGATAATTGGTCACTCCCCTTCACTACTTAGCGCTCGGGGACCTGCGTCCCCCACTCACACCCTTCCTTAGGTTCTTTGACCATGTCCTGATGAAAGTGCTTTTCGTAGTTGAGGTTCCAAATGGGGACATCGTCTCTTTTCGCCAAGGGACCGGCCAACCTGAATTGGTCCCAGAATGGGCCCTGATATTCAATTTTGAGGGTTGGTCGGTCCCCTTATAAAGGAGCCTGCGTTCTGGAAAGGGTGAGGTCACTTCACTTCCTTTCTGGTGTAATTCATTGTTTGTCAGTTAGTTACCTTTGTTGTTACTATATAGAGAGCTTGCAGTTCACTCTTTTACTGCAACAAGACTCACTACCGCTCATTCATTCTTCCATTCTATTATATTCAATTCTCCTATACTAGGTATCCGTTACATTTCTTCTCTTACAATGCCTTCAGTCAACACTTTTATGACCGCCCTCGTGGCTGGTTTTGCCATCGGAGCTCAAGCCGGTCCTTGCAGACCTCATGCTTCAAGCTCTGTTATCCAGTATCCTGTTTCCACCACTCAACAGACCGATGCTAGAACTTCTGCTGCCTACACTGATGCTGTGAGCAAGTCTGAGACCAACACTTCTCCTTCTACTACCGCTGTGCAAGTCACCAGCACCACCAAGGACGAGTCTGAGCCTGCCACTGTCGCCGAGACGACTTCTGCTTCTGCTGAAACTCTTACGAATGGGTCTGCCTCTCCCACTTCCGAAGCTGAGACTACTGAGCCTGCCGCCAAAACTACTGCAACTGCTAAGGAGGACACAACCTCTGCTCCTTATACCACACAGGACTCTAGTGCTGCTCTTTACACTACAACATCAGTCCCAGAAACCACTTCAAAGCCAAAGACCACTCTCGACACCACTACCGTCGCCCCTACTACCATATCCAAGCCTATCACAACTACCTCAGAGGCTTACACATCCACCTCCGCTGCTGCTGCCTCCAGATGTCCTGCCCTCTCTGAGCTCACCTGCGCCAAGACTGGCTTTTTCAGCAACGCCGACAGCAATCTCATCCAAGTCTACTACGATTATACCCTTAGCCAATGTCAGGAGGAGTGTGACAAGACTGACAACTGCAAGACCATTGGTATCACCACTAGCAACCAGTGTGAGCTCTACGATGCCGCTGTTTCTGCCCTTGGGTTTGAGTTCAGAGAGGGCTGGTACTACTCCGTCTATGATGCATGCTGCTTCAATGGCGAGTAGATAGGAGACTGAGCAGGCATGCATCACATGCGCAGGTAAATATAATCACTATATATGGGTTGATATAGGGTGTTTAGGAACCTTTCTCAGCTGGAAAAAAACCAATATCTCACTCAGATAGTTTTAGCACTAATTTATAATTCTTTACATGTTTCAATATATCATTTCATCTTAGTCTTTCTACTTGGCTACTGAACGCTTTTGTTTATCTCAGACTCTTGCCTAACATCATTGAATCGCTAATCGTAAATGTGACCCTGTTTAAACTTTGGAATCTGTTTCTTCTCTTTGTTTCATTTTTGGGGTTTTTCTTATGCTGTAGGGTTGGCCTCAGTCGCCTGTACGTCTTTGATTGTCAAGTCTTCGGCTTTCTTTGTCACTTCGGCCTCGGCATTGTCACCGCCCTTGGCTCCGGGGAATCGGGTGCCCCTGTTCTTGACCTTCTTTTCCTTCTTGACGGGTGGGGGGTAGGCCTTCAGTGTGACCTCCTGCCACTCTTTCGAGGCCTCGAATTCAGCCTGGATAGGGCTCATAAGCTCGTGGAATCCCTTAGTCACAGCAGCCTTCAGGTCTTGGGGTGTCAACTAGAACGCATCGTGTCAGTAACCATCTCCAGTAACAACAAAATCATCCATTAAGGAGAGCATACCACATCGTTTCGGTAATCATCGTGAACCTTCTGGATATCGCTGTAGATCAGGGGTTCGCCTTCACGTCTCTCGACCTTGAACGATCGAGAACCAGCCTTCAAGCCAGAAACTGGTAGCAAGACGTACTCCACAAGTGCAAGTACACCGTTGCCCTCAACCTCCTTGGGGACACACTCTGCCTTGCGAATCTTCTTGGCCACAACGTCAGGGGGGTCAAGGAGGTCGATCTTGCTATCTAAAGTCATATATTAGCATGATTCAGATCAGAGGCATGCGGCGAAGCGCTTACTCTCATCGCTTGAGCTCATCTTGTTTCCGTTCAAGCCAGCAACCATGGGGTTCATGAGATGGGCACGCTTGTAAAGTCAGTATACTGTAATTTGACCAAAGAAGGGCACAACCGCACCTTTCGGTATCCGAGCTTGGGCAACCATTCAGTGGCAGCTGTGAAAAGCTTTCTCTGATCGACGCCACCAAACTGAACATCGCAATCGAGATACTGCTCATCCAACACCTGTAGTAGAGGGTACATAAGACCACTTAGAGGCGCATTGCCAGTCTGCTTGACGACCTCGGCACCAGCCTTCTTGGCATCGTGCTCGGACACCACCGAGGCGAGCTTGTAAAGATCCATCACATAGTCGGCGGTTTTTTGATAGGAGCTTCCAAGGACGAAACGCAGCTGATCGGTAGGGACTCCGCAGGCCTTGAGCATTTCAGTGATAACGAATTTGTAGTATTCGGCGCGCTTCTCCACGAGCTCAATCGGGGCCTTCAGGTTATCGAGGAAGCCATGGATGTCGGCAAGCAACACAGTGACTTCGCAGCCAGCAGCGAGGTACTGGGCGATCTTAACGGCGGGCACGAAATAACCACAGTGAGGGCGCCCAGTTGTAGCAGTACCCCAATAGATTTTGGGGTTTTTGCCCTCGGCCAGAATGGACTCGATGATCTCGGGATTGAGAACCTCGGCGAGGTTCTCCTTGATGAGGTTGAGCCTCTCTTCTGTTGACTGACTCGACATTTTGCGTACCTGAGGAATTGTACAGGAAAGACTGATTGACTTCAGGCGTACCCCTCCAAAAGTCGACGTTGGGAGTCACAACCACCCCGCCGGAATCGGAATCTGGCTTTTCCGATCATAAATTTAGACCATTTTAGACTGTAGGTACTAAGTTTGTCCATCTCATCATACCTAACTCTGAATACTCTGTAGATTGGTCTAAGTTTTGTAACATAGGCCAGATTTAATACAACCTTTAGAGCTTATCATAAAGCTTCTTCATTTCAGTTATCCCAAGAGAAATAAATTATTAATAGATGTACATCAGAATTGTACTCTCATCAGGAAGAGAACGACTTTCATGATACCTCCCTGCAACTGTGGAAAACGGTGTCTCCGTTTTGGTTACGGTGTCATAACGGACGAAAAATGGGGCTCAGAATTGCGCTTCTGCCTCTGGGGTTCTCCGTAGTAGCGTATCCTTAGTGGTTGCACAGCATTTGCATAACTAAGTAACATATGCATAATTACTAGGAATACCTTAACGGACATCTCGGAACGGCAGAGCAATGTAAGTACCTGCGAGCGCTGAGGCATCCTCTACCTTTCATTCGAAGCAGACAATTGTGTTCAAACCTTTCAAGTAGTTGAATTGAAACCTGACTACTCTGGCTATCCCGCAGTTTTTTTGTGATCTTTCTCTTGCTAAGTATTATGCAATCCCCGATGATCGGGAGACTGAGTGCATCAGAATGGTAGAAACGTAAGGCAATGAGAGCCAGTTGATGGAGTTTGTTGGCGATGTCTTCTCTCGTGGTTGATACATGAAGCTATGCCTTATGGAGTTAGTGTCCGCTGCTCCTCTACAGAAATGGTTAGCCTCTCCATGGCTTGGCCAGAGGCCATCCAAATCCAAAGGTTGCCAGTTCGAATCATATTTCGGGGAGTTCTTTTTCTTTCATTTTCTTAAATCAAGTGTAAAGAATCTTGCTTTATAGACTAAGTAACCTATAAATCTAATAACATGTCTCGTATTTAACTCAGCTGTCCTCTTCTTGTTCAAATTGAAACCCAGGACAACTGACAGATAGTCTGAGCGTGCCGTATTTGTCAGCCCGGGAGTTCAGGGCGTTACATCTTTATCCCTGTGCCCTTTAACTTTGACCAACTCAACGACTTCACATCACTTTGTTATTCACATCAACCTCTCCTTACATCGATTCATTATTCATTTCATTTTGTCATTACAATGGGGCGGCAGGAACCTCTCCTATCTTACAACACCACTCGGTCATCGAGAACCAGGGGCGCAAACAGATCAGTCAAGGGAGGATTATTATCCCAGCTTCATACAGGCTCACATCATGAAGCTCCCTCTACACCCAAATTGACACCCCGAAAGGCTATTATAGCTATCTTCTTGGCACTTTTAGGACTCAGCCTGTTGCATCGACCAGTCAGCAATCGTTACAATGGTGTTCCTCGCTATGGAAACGGATTGCGAACGCCCGAGGAGCGAGCACGACATATACTCAGCCATACCCCATTGATAGGTATGGAAATCTGCATCCTTGTCATAATCAGATGTGTATTGACTTAGTAATTCCAGATGGGCATGTTGACTTTCCAATCGTGCTGCGTTTCGCATATGGCAACCAAATTTATGATGACAACTTCACCCAACCATTCGAGCAGGGTGAGCTTCCTGGACATGTTGACTTGCACCGTCTTCGCCAGGGCCAGAGTGGCGGTGCATTTTGGAGTCTGTTTGCTCCATGTCCATCAAATGGCTCCGACTTCTCTGACAAGAACTATGCTTCGAGTAAGTTGTCATGGTTCTTGATTCTCATGTGGCTTGCTAATCACATGTATAGGCGTACAGTTCACATTGGACCAGATTGATGTCATGAGCAGGCTGCAGGCGGCCTATCCTAGCCACTTCTCTGATAAGGTCGACAGCTCCAATGCCTTTGAGGCCTTTAAGCAGGGCAAGCTCATCTCACCCTTTGGTATCGAGGGTCTACATCAAATTGGCAACAAGGTGTCTAACCTCCGTCGTTTCCATGAGCTTGGTGTGCGCTATGCTACCTTGACTCATAACTGTCACAACAAGTTTGCCGATGCTGCGATTTTGTCAGACCCTGACCGGAAGGCTGAGCCATTGTGGGGAGGCGTGAGCCCCCTGGGTCGCAAGCTTATCGCCGAGATGAACCGCATCGGCATGATTGTTGATCTTTCTCATGTTAGGTATGTTGGTGTTGGTCTCACTTCCCACCATGAACTTAATCCTAACCAAAACTGCCAGTGAGGATACTATGTTGGATGTACTAGGCGGCAAGGATGAATGGACTGGCTCTGAAGCCCCTATCATCTTCTCTCACAGCTCCGCCTGGAGCGTCTGCCCTCATCCTCGAAACGTCAAGGACAATGTTCTACAGCTCGTCAAGAAGCGGAATTCCCTAGTCATGGTCAACATCGCCCCTGATTTCATCTCTTGTGTTGACACCGGAAAGGAGAATGGTCTTCCTGAGTTTTACCCCCAGAACTCGACACTTGCACACGCAGCTCAACACATCATCTATATCGGTAACCTGATCGGTTACGATCATGTTGGTATCGGTACCGACTTTGACGGTATTCCATCTGTTCCTGAAGGCCTTGAAGATGTCACCAAATATCCTGATCTGATCGCCGAACTCCTTCGACAGGGTGTCAGCAATGTTGATGCAGCCAAGGTTGTTGGAGGTAATCTGCTGCGCGTTTGGAAAGATGTCGACACTGTTGCTGCTAAGTTGCAGGCCAAAGGACAGCTGCCGCTGGAGGATGATTTGCCAAAGATGAAGTTTGACGAAGCTCAGGAGGTCTCGTTTGAGCATGCGTAAGTTTGGTAATGCCGCGCTTGAACACGGCCATATAGAATTCATGTCCATTTGATCGTACATTATATATACAAGTCTTGTATGACAAGGAGATAGCCTGGCTTATCGTGTCTCCTCGGTATAATCTCTCTAGCATTTAGACATGCCATAACATCCTCTAGGGAGATATTTGCCAATATTCATACCCAATTCGAGGTAGCCCACTCTTCTAATGATGCGCTTAACCTCGTCGTTCCACCCTGTTGAGTCTGTTGGCCGTCGCCGTCTGTGTCCTTGTTCGTTGACCACGGACTGGCAGACCCATTGCGTGACGTCTACCCCGGTATGAGCCCATATCCTTTAGTCGTCGAATATTCTCCTGTAACAAGCGGCGTGCGTCCGTTTCGATGGTCATTTGTGATAATTCGGCCGTAATGTGAGTGACGGTTCTGGGAGCGAGGGATCCGACCTTGGCGAGCTTGTGAATCGAGTATTTCGCCATAATTCGGGCAGATATCGTGGGCCCAAGAGCGTAGAAGGACTCGAGGGCTTTCTGTCGGAGGGTATGGTGTGAGATGGATGAGAGCACTAGGTGACTGCCAGACTTACCTTGACGAGCTTCTGGTCGCCGAAGCTGACTCCTGCAAGGAAGACCTATTTACTGTTAAACTCCAATTGTTTGAGGGACAGAAAAGGATGTGCAAACGTACCATGGTGACGGTTTATCGTGGGTATCACAGTCGCATACCTAGATCTCCAAACCGAAGCCGACCAGAGGTACAGTTGGAAAAAGATGGACAATTCGGTAAAACTCGGGTTAATTGTTGTACAAGGCGGCCACCAGGGAACTCCAGCACGGCGGGGTCCACTGGGAGAAGTGAGCCGCGGCAGGGGAATGAGGCTCTGACTTAAAAGTTAGTGTAACACTATGTCGAAGCCCGTGTTCATCATGTCGAATCTTTTCTGTCGCCTCACGGCCCTAGATGGGCAGGGCACCAATGAAAGAACTCGCTCTTCTGGTGGCTTTAGCCGCTGAAACATGCTGGAACGCAGAGTGAGCTCTCCACTCCCAGTCCGGCAGCGGGGACCATCTGCAGGTAGTTTAGCGTTTAGGTCCCCCAATTGCGCACGCAGCGGGGACCAGCTCCCCCCGGTCAGTGGCTATCTCTGTGGTATAAGTGTCCCTTCCTGTCCCTAGGTCCTCTCCAACCTTTCCCTTTCTCTGCCTCTGCCTTTGTATTCTTTGATCATCAGAGAAACAACAATCATGTTCAATCTTCGTCGCCTTTTCGTGTCGGCCCTGGTCCTTGGGCTCGGCCTCCTCTTCCTCGCCCAGACAGCTGAGGCTGCCAAGGGCCCCAAGATCACCCACAAGGTCTTCTTCGACATTGAGCAGGGTGACCAGAAGCTCGGCCGTGTCGTTATGGGCCTCTACGGCAAGACTGTCCCCGAGACAGCTGAAAACTTCCGCGCTCTGGCTACTGGCGAGAAGGGCTTTGGTTATGAGGGTTCTGCTTTCCACCGTGTCATCAAGAACTTTATGATCCAGGGCGGTGACTTTACCAAGGGTGACGGCACTGGTGGCAAGTCTAGTATGTTGCGATAGCTTCGTCTCGGTCCAATCCATCCATCAATTGCTAACATTTGCCTTCAGTCTACGGTGACCGCTTCAAGGATGAGAACTTCAAGCTCAAGCACACCAAGAAGGGCCTCCTCTCCATGGCCAACGCCGGTCGCGACACCAACGGCTCCCAGTTCTTCATCACCACCGTTGTCACCTCGTAAGCGCAACTCCATCTCCAACGAAGCAATTACAATCACAATGCTAACAACCATGTCCAGGTGGCTCGATGGCAAGCACGTCGTCTTCGGTGAGGTCCTCGAGGGCTACGACATCATCGAGCAGATCGAGAACACCAAGACTGGCGGTGCCGACCGACCCGTTGAGGCGGTCAAGATCGCCAAGAGCGGCGAGCTTGATGTCCCCCCTGAAGGTATTCACGTTGAGCTCTAAGAGGCAACACTCTTGTTTTGCACTTGTCCGTTGCCTCGCCCTCATTGATAATCCTAAAAGGCCGGATTTGCTGATGCGTAGCCTTCGCCTCAATTAGACCTTTACGGCACATCTGAATTCGCTGCGGAGGAGGTTTCCGCTGGCTGGTCTCCTCTCCAGAAGGCTGGCCTCTTTGCCGTTGTTGCTGGTCTTGTCTTTGTTGGACTTCGCCACGCCCGTCAGCGCTCTCGATTCTAAGCGACTCGAGACTCAGTATTCAGTAAGAGACAATACAACACCGACCATATCAAGACCATATCTGTGTTTCGATCTATACCGACTACTACTCTTCCCTATCAATTGTAGAATTATAGCCTAAATTTATTGTGAATTGGCACTTACTCCATCTTGTTAAACATTGTAGCACGTAGCTCTAGAGAGAACATCCCTGTCACGTGGGGCTCACTTCACCACCAAGTCCCTCCCCCGCCATAGAAGAAAAAAAAGTTGTGTAAGTACAAGACAACATCAATTTTTCCATTCTCGATCTCGTACACGACTATTTAACAAACCTTCTGCTCATCTTTCTCCGAAACCAAGATGAAGGTCCTCAGCCTCAATTTCCTCACTTGCGCCGTCAAGGCCTGCAAGTCCTCTAAAGACTCATACCCTCTTCACCCAAAGGACGCTGAACTCGTCCAAGACGATATCGAGTTGAACCCTGACATGATCCTCAATGTGCTGCCCCGTCTTGACTGGACGGCTCTTTGCACAACGGCCTCTGAGGTGAGTCAGCGAAAACAAGGCGACCATGAAACTCGCCGTGTAGTGTTGAAACTAGTTTCTGACACTTTCATGTTACAGTTGGGTTTCCCTCAGCTCCCTGAACAGCCTCCCACAGCAGTTGAGCTTCGGGCTGATGAGAAGACCCTCAAGGATCTCCACCATCTTCTTCTCGAGACTCAAATGTCTGAGGGAAAGCTCGTTTGTGGCAACTGTGGACACGAGTATGCCGTCAAGGAGGGTATTGCCAACTTTTTGCTACCCAGCCACTTGGTGTGAAGATGACAATACGAACCAAAATTAGTTACGTTTGCAAGATTCCATTGGAGATGCATCACCACTAGAGAAGTCAGGTTATTATGACTAGAGGTATCATCACGGAGTTTGGCGTTGAATTCTTTAATAGCGTTGAATCGCATCTGGAAAAAGTACTCAATAAATTTGGGTCAAGACCCTTAATCTGGATCCCCGACCCTACGTCCTGTCTACAGCCGATGCTCGCAACATTACATGCCGATACTAACCCTCCCATCAAGTCGCACCAAAGGAACCCAAACTCCGTAATCTGATATACAAGTATCATTCCACATGGAAGACCGATACATGAACAGCGCTCGTTTATTCAGCACAAGTGGTTTACTGCTGCTTCTTTTGAGCAGCTGGGCCCATGTCCTTCTCAAAAGCGCCGTAGGAGACCTCGAGGCTAGCCAGAGCCCGCAGACCAACGCCAAGCAGGGAGAACAGCACAATGGCAGCAATGATTCCCATGAAGATACCTGCAGTTTATTAGTACGGGGTCAGGCATGCGCAGTTTATATTTAGGAAGCTTACCAGGAGTAAAGAACTGGTACTTCTCAAATAGACCACGGGTATCGCGTGTGGCGTTGCCAGGCTTCTCTGCATAGCCCGAGACATCACGCTTCAAGTCCATGTGCAGGGGCTCGATGAATTCGGGCTCGTAGATGGTCTTCTCGGACTTGGATGCGGCGGTCTTGGCCTTGGTGGATGGCGTGCCAACGAAAAGGACAGTGTATGAATCGTTCAACCATTGCTCACTCTCCTCCCACTGCTTGATAGCGTCTGTGATATGGTCAAAATTTGAACTCAAAGCGGCTTTCATTATATAACCGACCTTCCTCGTTCGTCAAGGCCTTGATTAGGGTGAAGTGAGGCGTAACCTTCTTTGCCTGCTCGTAACACGCCCTCTTAATGTAGTCCTGGATCGCAACCGCATCGATGGACTCGCCAACAACCTCGGGCACAATCAACTTGCCCTGGATTTCCTTGCGGCCGATAGCGTGGTGAATATTGGACATGGAGTTCGGTCGTCGAAGATCAGCGGCGTTGACACCCTCATGAGCAATCAAGAGGTAATTATCGGTCGGACATGAAGTCAAGAGGTCCTGAACCTGCTCGAGAGCTTGGGATCGCGTCTGGATGTGGTTGTTGCTGGGTGCATCGGAGAACCTTGATCATCATCATTAGTAGGGAGCTCCAAAGTATAGACAGGACACGAAGGCGCGCGTCATACTTGGAAGTAGAAAACATAACCAATGGCCACGAGTCTGAGAACGCGGCGGCGGAACTACTGAGCGCAAGGGCGCTGGCGAGAATCTGAAGACGCATCACGGATGATATTTGCTGGTTATGGGGCGTTGTGTCTGCCTATCGATTCCAGCTTGTGATGATACTGCTAGCATTGAGAGAGCTGATGCAGGAGTAGCCACCTTACGTAACTATACCGGTATATGCAAGCCCCCGCTACGTGCACACCTCGGTGAGAGCTAGGATCCATTCCGTTGTGGAGCTACCCTGGGAAAGTTTCGCGACAGTGGATTTTTCGATGTTCAAGATGCTGCTACCTATTCTTGCTATTGTAGCCAACAAAATAGTTTACTCGATACGTTCTCAATTTCTTACTCGCACTTCACGACTATCGTGCATATAAGCAATCATGTTCGCCAAACCAAGACCCAAAAAGAGCATTCTGCCTCCACCATCTAAGAAGCGAAAGATGACCTCTGCTGTCGAGGAGGTTAACTTCGACTTCGAGGCGCGACAGGAATATCTGACTGGTTTCCATAAGCGCAAGCAGCAGCGCATCAAGAATGCTCAAGAAGAGGCTGCTAAGAGGGCTCGCCAGGAGAAGCTGGAGTTACGAAAACAGGTACGCCCAAATTTTCAAGCGAGATTACGACTGTCAATATCGAATAGTACTAAATTATTCTACATAGATACGAGAAGAACG